TCGTTGACATTCGACACATGCCCGTGCCCAATGTCTGCAATCTGCGTCAATTCCTGGCCACACAAACCGCTGTTTTACAAGCTTCACTGTGGCTTTAACTCCTGGATGTGCAAGGCGATGTATGGTATTGAAAACTGTTCGTCGAAAAGGCTTTGTAACAAAAGGTCTGGCGATTGAAGTTGATGTGTCGCAGAACACTAAGACATTCGTGCCTGGTAATTCCACTTGCTTAAGTCGCAATCCGGTGTTTTCTTGTGCATACTTTTTCAATTCGTCGTCTCCCTGTTGTGACATTGCTAAAGCAGTGTAGTCTAACGTGTCTGATAATGCGTCCACGCGTGATAGGGTATCAGCCACGATATTCTGTTTACCAGGAACGTACCTAATATCCGTGGTGAATTGTGAAATAAAGTCCAAGTGTCTGAATTGTCGTGGTGTGCACTTATCCGATTTCTGTTGAAATGCGAAAGTGATAGGTTTGTGATCGGTGTATATAACAAACTCGCGTCCTTCCACCATATGCCGAAAATGTTTGACAGCGAGATAGATCGCAAGAAGTTCTCGATCGTAAGCTCCGTATTTTGTCTCAGTCGCCGTGAGTTTCTTGGAAAAGAAGGCGAGGGGTTGCCACTCGTCATTGATGAACTGTTGGAGAGTTGCGCCAACCGCTGTGTTTGAAGCGTCGCTTACAATAGCCAGTCGAGCGTTGTCACATGGGTGCGCGAGAAGCGTGGCTGTGGCGAGTTCCTCCTTGCATTTCTCGAACGCTGAAATTGCTTCTGGTGTCCAATTAATAGGTGCTTTACCTTTTAGATTAGGTACTAAGAGATCACTTAGTGGTGATTGTGCATCTGAAGCTCTAGGTATAAAACGACGATAGAAGTTTAACATACCTAAGAACTGTCGTAGACCCTTAGCTGACGTTGGCCTCTTGTAGCTCAATATGTCAGCGACTCTATCAGGTAGAGGACGTGTTCCTTCTTTAGAAATCATGTAGCCCAAAAACTTTACTTCTGGTTGTCCAAAAACGCATTTTTTAGGATTGAGAACCAGAGAGTATTCGCGTAGTCGCTCAAAAATGATCTGTAAATGTTTGATGTGTTCTTCTTCAGAAACAGATGCCACGAGTATGTCGTCAATGTAACTGAAACAAAAATCAAGTCCACGGAGTACTTCGTCAATAAATCGTTGGAACGATTGTGCTGCGTTTCGAAGTCCAAAAGACATAAAGAGGAATTCGTAAAGTCCAAATGGTGTCACAATTGCAGTTTTAGGGACGTCTTCTTCAGCTACAGGGATTTGATTATACGCTCGAACCAAGTCGATAGTTGAAAAAATCGTTTTACCGTGGAGAAAGTGCGCGAAGTCCTGTATATGACGAACAGGGTACCGATCTGGGATAGTCCGGGCATTTAGAGCGCGGTAATCCCCACAAGGACGCCATGCATCTGTTTTGTTCTTTGGTACTAGATGTAATGGTGATGACCAAGGTCCTTGGGATGGTCGGATAATGCCTAGTTGGATCATAGCTTCAAACTCTTTTTTTGCTGCCTTAAGCTTATCAGGTGCTAAGCGTCGTGGTTTACAAGATACCGGGGGTCCTTGTGTCGTCGGGATAAAGTGTTTAGTGCTGTGTTTGATATCCTTCAGGGTCCCAAACGGTCGAGTGATCTCTGGAAATTCCCGTAGTAAACCGTCGTATTTCGTCTCTCCCACGACGACCTTAATAGATGGTATTGAGCACTTGACGGCGTGACCACGAGTGGTGAGTTGTGTAAGTCCGTCTAATAGACATTGATTGCGCACGTCTACCAAAAGATTGTAAAAACTTAAAAAGTCAACACCAATGATGGGCTTGGATACTTCCGCAATCACAAATCTCCAAGTGAAATCTCGACGAAGTCCGAAGTTTAGGCTGAGCGTGATAGTGCCGTAGGTGTTTATAGGCGTGCCATTGGCGGCTGATAGGACGTAATCGGTTTTTACGCGGTGGCCTGGAACAGCACTACGTGGATAAACACACAAGTCGGCGCCCGTATCGATGAGAAATTGAGTTTGGGAAGTTCGGTCTGTGATGAAAAGACGGCGTGGAAACTGACCGGGCTCACTGGCCGTCATCAGTGATGACCCGTCCCGTTTCCCGATTTATAGTTACAAGGTTCCTTGCATTTTTTCGATTGGGATCCATAACGCCAATGATACCAGCATATTCCGTCTGCGCCATGATGAGTGCGGCTTCGAGATCGTGACCTTGGACGGTAAGTATTTGGTCTTGAGTCCGGAGTACGCGAGGGGCGAGTATTTAACGCAGCCACTTCACTTCTCAACGCTGCAATCTCCTGATTAATATTTAGACTAAGTTGAGAAATCTTAAGATTCAACATGGCTTCAAAAGTGTCACTTCTCGACATTTCTGCTATTTGTGGTAGTAAAGGACCCGATGCGTCTGCGATGTTGTCCGCATGGACAGCGAGATCTTCAAGCTTACTATCTTTCACTATTGCCAACGCTACCTGTATACTTTTCGGTAAACGGCCCATCCAAAGTGTCTTCAATAACGTTTCCGGAACAGAAGAGTCGGCCAGACTTTGGAGATGGCGTAAAAATTGTGATGGTTTACGGTCTCCAATCTCAACGCGTTCTAAAAGTTGGCGTGTTTTCTCCTCTTGGGAGGCACTAAGACGTCTTATCAACTCTTGTTTAATTTTGGCGTACTTACTGTCTGAGGGCGGCGTCATAATTATGTCCTTGACTTCCACTGCGTATTTTGGCGGTAATGCTCCAACTACATACCCGAATTTTGTACTGTCAACAGTGACTCCCGCGCTGGCGAAACTTCCTTCGACCATAGCAAACCAAAGTTCGGGATCTGACGAAATGAAATCCGGTATCTTGACGGCTACTCGAGCAATTGTTTCGTCTGTCTGCGCCATCACGTCGAGGTCACCAATTTGTGGGTTATATCTTACAACACACAATTATTTAAATGGCGGTAGACTTTTATTAAACAAAATTATAACACTAAAATAGACGTATAAACACTAAAAGAAAATATATGTATATACAGTAAGGAAAAATAAAATAATCGAAGTAAACATAATACACGATGACAACAGCGGCGGGGTGTAGCGGTCGTGTAGCGTATCGCGGACTAGACAGTCTGAACTGAACTAACTGAACTGACTGATTCTTCCGATATATATATAGCTCCGATAAGGCTCTCGCTAATTCTAGAATATTCTATACCCGCGTAGGTTATCTTATGGCGTTATCGAAGTTTCTCGAAGGTTTTTGATAACGAGAACATTCGAGAATATTCGTTGCGTATGTTTTGGTCGCTACATATATAATTAGAGCTAATGTAATGTATTTTATTATGAAAAAAGAAATTTCGGAAAAAAAAAATTGTTTTTCTACAAATTTATTTTCAAAACATTCAATACACATTTATTTCAATAAATTTAAGCATAAATTATGATATTCTTAGTAAATTATGTATTTATTTACTACCTAAAATAAAGAAATATTATCATACTTAAAAAATATTCACCTTCAACAATTCATAGTTCCATTGAGCATCTGCCTAATTCAACTCTGGTCAATTATTTTGAATTCATTAAAACAAATATAATTTTACTAATACAATATATTACTAATAACTAAAATAATTAGAAATTACTATCTTAGCTCTATTATCATTATTATCTTATTATTCAATAAAATTTTACATATCAAGGTTAATTATAAAACTGTACGGAAAGATATGCTTGATTTTTTTGGGTAAATTATAAAATTGTTTTTAATTATGACAATACATAATTATTTTGTTTCACGTAGACAGTACAATATTAAGTAGAGATACAATATTTTGTGAAGATTTAAAATTTAATGAAAATATTAGGTAATGTAACACATAAAGCCAACTACTTTTTTTTTTTTTTTTTTTTTAGATTAAGAATTTGTTGATGAACCAATGTCACAACTCCCTTGTACAATACTCATTTTATTCATAACTGACCTTGTCCTTAAATAACAAAATTGAAGTCTATTATACAACACTATATTCATGGATCATTGGTTTGATGACTCGAAATATCATCATATATATATAAGATCATTAAAACCACGTTACAAAAAATAATACAAATTCAGACAACATTTTTAATATTTTTGTAACATTAATGGTAAACAATTACTGTTATTATTTTGTTAACAGATTTAAAAAACTACGTTGACCTTGGTTGTTACGAGGGCAATCTTGTGGTTAAGTATTTAACTAAAAATTTTTCTCTCATACATTCAATTTGATAAAATATTAAGTTCAATTGCCAGGCAATTATTACTAGTTGATGTATTTACTCATCAAATTGTTCCCTTGTAATTCAATTTATGAATTTATGGGTTGAACACTACTATGAAAGCTGAATGGAACAATGTAAACATAATTTAGTTTGATTTTGAAATATTTGGTAAAAGTTGTTCAACAACCCTGTGGCTTTTTCCTAAAATTGATTTGTCACAAAATTTGTTTTGTGCAAATAAAGCATATTTTCGTTCGTGAAACTGAAAAGTATAAGTTAGTGTTATCGGGAAAATTAATTTTTGCACTTAAAAAATGTCAATTTTGTATGAGATATGACAGAACTATATAGTTTATGAAAAGTTAACACATTTCATTAACTCATTAAGTTATGATAATTTTGAATAAAGTATGTTAAGTTAATTTAAAGCTAACTTTAATGTATTTTTTAACTTCGTTTTACAGATAAAGATAATAAACTAGATTGCTAATTCGCGAAAAGCCGCCATCTTTTTTGAGGCCAGACATATTTTTCCATATACTTCGTATACATAAATTTTTTTTATTAATAACTTTTTTCTCTTATTACAAAATAGTTTTTACATAAAATATAGGAAAAAAGTCTAGTAGTATAGGAAAAAAAATCTAGTTTATTGTATAAATATATGCTTCGATTTTTTTAAATTAACAGCTCATAATTATAAATTATGCATTGTTATGACTTGTAATGCATTTCACTGTGATCTCATTTCCATTCATGAAGACTTGCAATATATCATTCTTACAACAATTTACATGACGTTTCTGTGTTGCCTCTTCCATGTTTTGATGATTATGTTGAATACCTGTTGCTATATTTAATATTTCATTATATTATTATAATGTACTTCTACGCAGCGACCTTCGTCAATAGTGTACAGTATAACTTATTATTTGAGACAAATTGATTGACAAGTCTTATGTCAATTATTAATTGTGGTCATCGCAATTTTCGTATTTTCCTAATCCTTGAATACTTTAAAAAGTGTTGCACAAATTTACCAAAACCGCATTGATGGAGACATTTAGACGATAATGGATTCGAAAAGATTTGTTGTGGTGAAAATTATTCAGTCATTATTTAATAAAATTTAAAGAAATATTAGGACATATAATATAATGATGTAATAACAATTTTTGAATATATCAATTGTATCTAACCACAGGGGAACGCGGAAAATTTGTTTTTTTTTTATATATCATTGAAAGTGTCATTATAAACATATAGTTAAATGTATTGTGGCAAGGAAGTTACTATGTTTGTATATTGTGAAGATGAAAGATTTTAATAAATCTAGGCAATGGAGGTCATGGCTTAAGAAGGGGGAAGTTCCTCTACAGCAGCATGTCGCTGTTCTTATAGACTATCGCCGCAATCCTTTATCTATCGGTCAGAAGGAATAACGTGTTCGCTTGGTAAACATTATATTTCCGTTACATTTAGTTGAATTACTTTTGAACTCCAGCTTAATATATATTGTGGTAATCAAAACTCGTTATGTTGGCTAACATAAGACCAAAATCGGTCCGAAATGGTATAATCAAATCGGAAGTATGTATATAAATTGTAAATAATTTGAAATGTTAAATAAAAAGATAAATAATCCTTTAGCAACACTTATATTGTAATAACTTTTTTTTTTTTTACCAAACATTTTATGTTTCAAAACATAAATATATTATTATATATGTGGATAAACTCGTATTATCATTAAACTTTACAATGATAATTTTTTTTTTTAATCTTGCGGAACTATTGTTAATTATTCTTTAAAATACCTTAAAAAACAAGTGTTTTCAAAAATTATTTTTAGTTTAAGATGTAATTATTAGTTTATGCATAATAAATGTTTACCGTGTAGTATAAACGCAACTTTCTTAATAATATGTTAGTAAAAACACTTAACCTCCTAACAAGTCATAATATTAATATTTATGTATAATTTGCATTTAATGGTAATACATAAAATGTTTAACTGTAAAAATGTATCGATAACATTATTAATACTTTTTTTTTAAATTATTCTCAAGTAAGTTATTTTATATGACGATACTTGAATGATAAAAATATAGCATTGTTTTAAATTAATTTATTGTACGAATTTGGCAGTGGCGGATTTACGGAGGGTGTATAGATCCCTCTCAGACATCGATTTTTTTATATTATTCGATGTGTTGGATATGACTTTGATTCATAAGTGTATTTTGGTCATATTTGTGGAGAGGTTTAATTTTATTTCCCCTCCAAAAAATAATTTTTATATTACAATGCATATAATTTTGATAAATTTCTGAGGGGATAAGCCCTTTGCAAAATGCCTACATTTTGATACGTATTCCAAGTAAAATTTATTTTATTAGAATCCCACTCTTAAAAAAAAATGTCGCAAATTCAATTTTATAGACTTAACTGTTATTAGTATAGTATTATGATATTTTTCGCAAATCAAGGTCATCTAGCTTTCACTAGAGAAAGTAGCTCGATACTTCTTGTTTTGGAGCAATGACCGTCGATATTTCCTGCCTCGTTAACAGGTTTTATAATAAACTTACCTCAGTATCATCCTCGATGATCTAACAACTTATATATCTGTCATAGTTATGTCATATCTTCACCATGCTTATATTGCTTCATCCATTACTTTTTTCTTGTCTCATAATCCAGTTTATCTTTATTTCTTGGTCATTTTATTTGTAATTTATCTTTTAAAATATGTTACATATTAATTTTTAAAAAATGTTGAGCTATTTCAAATACTAAAAATGAACAATGGGATTTATTATAAAAATTTAAGCAATTTCTAATTTAATCAATTAAATTTTTTTGACAGGTTAAAAAATATTTTTTAATTTTTCATACTTTAAAATGTTATAAATATAAATAATGGCTACCAAGTCTAATAAAATTGTATAGCTTCTCTTTTTGACAGACAAACTCAATTCAATAGTATAAAGGCTCATTCTGGTTGTTCTTTGTATCCGGGTTCAGTGGAGTACACCCCACTGTACCCAGCCTCATTCGTTGCATTTAACAGCATTTAGAAACTTGTAGTGATTGTCAATTCAAACATTTTTAACTTATATATTTCGTTTAATAACAATTATTAATTATTTTAAATATATATTAGAAGACAAATAATAAAAAATTAACAGTGATTTTAATTCCTGCATTAAATTTATGTTAATAAGTAACAATATTTATACATTGTAGATCTCTTTATACTTTCTATGTACTTATATTAATGAAATTGCTCTATTTTAGTACAGAGCAAGCCGTAAGGGTTGCAGTTATAATTTAAGAATATTTTAGTTAGCCAAATTATAAAAACGATTGAAATGATTAGCAATATTACATATTTTGATAAATCAAATAGTTTTGATATCATACTGGTTCAAATTTCCTAAATATCTACAAAATTTACCTATATATATAATTTTTGTTCATTTAATGAACCTAAATTTTTCTACCGTTATAAATTATTATCTATGTAAATTTTTGGTGCTTTTTTCATTTAGGTGGCTACAAATGTTACCGTACAAAAGCATCATGTTTCTAGAGATAAACGTGGTCAAGTTTTGGGAAACGTTCGGGGATTTCGTGGCTGTACTGTCTGGTTTACCGGTTTGTTAGTTTTATAATTATATTTTTTATTTTTAAATAATTACTTATTTATTTATCGTTAAAGTAACTCCTATATGGGTACTGTTTATATACATTGTATAAAAAAAATATTTAAGTATATGCGTAACATATTACTAAGACCTTAACACATAAACAAGAATCATAAACAAATGTAAAGTATCATTTTAATATAAAATAATATTTGTGGCTAGTTATGACTATAATTCTGTTTTTGTGTAGGTAAATCAAAATGTATTTAAAATATCTTGGCAATCAATTTTTTTATTTAATAGATTATAAATTAATTACGTTTATAAACTTTTCGGGTGATTTATAGGCTTGTCAGGCGCTGGTAAAACATCCGTGTCTTTTGAATTAGAAGCTTATTTAGTATCCAGAGGTATACCGGCTTATGGTTTGGATGGAGACAATATGCGAACTGGCTTAAATAGAGATTTAGGCTTTAGTCCTGACGACCGCGAAGAAAATATTAGACGTGTAGCAGAAGTTGCAAAATTGTTTGCTGACAGTGGAGTTGTTACTTTATGTAGTTTTGTCTCTCCATTTACTCAGGTAAAATAAATCATATTTATTGTGCATTATAAATTGTATAAGTTTAATTTGAAAAGGTCTTAGAATTATAGAAAAACAAATAATAGAATTAATACAAAGGTGATTAAATATTTTTTTATGTAACACTTTAAAATAGAGTTATGTATTAAGTGGTTAAATAATTTGTTCATAATTTATTTAATTAGATTTTATTATTCTTGCATAATTAGTAAGTTGATTCACTTTCTAATTTATTTAAGTTTTAAAAACCTAGGCTAGAACGTTTTCGGCGCGTACATGATAGAATCTGTTTATGTTTTTTCTAACATCTTGTTATTATCATTCATTCATTTGACTTGTTGTTTTATAATACCCTTGTATACGCAACTAATATGTATACTATTTTTTTTTTGGAATGTATTCCTTTTGAACGTGTTAAAGCAACAATGTATTCGTTTACTTCCCTTTAACTTTTACACTATTCCAAGTTATCTTAAAGTGAAATTTTATAACTAAATTCTTAATTTTTTTGTTCAGAATTTACTCACGATTACGAGAAAATTCTGATTTTTCATTTGTAATGCCAAACCGCTGTTACTAGTGGTTTGGAAAACATGGGGATCTCTGAAAGTTATTTTGAAAATGATCGTTTTGTAACTGAAAATTAAATGAACAAATAATTTTTATACTCTTTGTAAATAGTTCATTTATTATTAATAATAAAATAAAATGATCAAAGTTAACCTAGAGTAAATCATATAAAATTTTTTTTAAAAATTTAAAACTACTAGTTTTGGTAATGTACCATCATCTAATTACCGATTAAAAATCAAATACAATTCATACAAACAAATTACTATTTAATAAATGAAATATAAAATTAATACAAAAATAAAACACATAAAATTTATAAAAAAAATGTCTCTAAAGTAAAATTTGATAAAATGGACTAGATATAATAAAGGTATAAAAGTGAAATAAGTAAAGGTTTTCTAGACTGAAAGTTAAAAATTATATAATCAAATCACTTTTTATGTTATAGTTTCTTATCTTCCTTAAGACAATCAATTGATCAATGATCAATTTTTTTTTACAATTGACATAAATGTGAGTTGCCCAGGAATTTCAGTCTAGCATTATTTCAGGGTGGGAATTTAATGATACATTGAGAAAACATTTTTTAAGGACTCAATAGGAAAAGAATCATTATTATTTTTATATCTAGGTTATAAATGACTACTTATTTACCAAATTTTATCTCAATTAATAAGATAAAATGATATCAAAATCAATTTTTATTTTGAATGAAACATAAATATATTTCTTTTCATTAAAATAAAATAATTTATATTTTAATGGTCTTACTACCTATTTGGGGCCAATGTAACCACTTAGAAGAGTTGGTTTCTTTATTTTTTTTATTCCAGCACAGGTGGTTAGTATGTTTTTGGAGAAAGAAACAGTGACTCCAATTACTGATTTGATTTGTTACTCAGCAAACAAAGCTGACGGTGACATATATTTTATAATATAATTAATCTTAAAATAATATATTTAATAAAAAAAAAAATATTTATATATATATTATTTTTTTCTAATATTCTAGGATAGGGAAATGGCTAGAAAAATTCATAAAGAAGCTGATCTACCTTTTTTTGAAGTATTTGTTGATGCTCCACTTAGTGTCTGTGAAGAACGAGATGTGAAAGGATTATACAAAAAAGCTCGAGCAGGCCAAATCAAAGGTAGAAAAAACTAAAAAATATTACATGAATGAAACATTTTCAGTCAAACATTATATTTAGGTTACTAAGCAAAAATATCTAAAAAAAATTTTCAGGGTTTACTGGAGTTGATCAAGTTTATGAAAAACCAGATGCTCCTGAGCTTGTACTCAAAACAGTACATTTATCAATTGAAGAAAGTACTATGGAAGTTGTAAAAATGCTTGAAGAAAATGTAAGATTAAATTTTAATTTAAATTACTTATAAAATAATTTATTTAAACACATACTGTATGTGTTTAGCATTGATAATGTTAACATTGTTCTTGAAATACGTGTCTGCTATTTTTAATAATTTTTAGTTAAGTATTTTTAGTTTAAAATTAATAATATTTTTAGTACAGTTTTAATTTTAAATATTATTAGCAATTTGTAAATATTTACAAGTGATCAATTTTTGTTTTATAAACATTTTCATGTTATCAAATATAACAATTAATTTATTATTTTTATAATAGACATGTAATCATTTTTTAATTTATACTAAAGGAAATTATACCCCTGCAAATCAATCATGAAGTATCACGTGTACCAGAACTATTTGTATCAGAAAATGAGATTGAAAAAACCAAAAAAGAAGCTATGCAGCTTCCTAGACTTGATATTGGAAAGATAGATATGCAATGGGTACAAGTATTGGCTGAGGGGTGGGCAACTCCTTTAAATGGATTTATGAATGAAGAAGAATACTTACAGGTAATATGAAGTATTCTTTTATTAGTGTTTGCACACTAATTAATATTATTATTTTTATTTAGGCCTTACATTTTAATAGTTTTTCTGAAGATATCAACCAATCTATTCCTATTGTTTTACCAATTACCACAGAAAAAAAAGAGAAACTTATAGGCTGTGAAGAAATTGCTCTATGGTATAATTCAAAACCTGTAGCTATAATTCGCAAACCATCTTTCTTTCCTCATCGGAAAGAAGAACGAGTATGTCGTCAATTTGGAACATCTCATCCTAATCATCCTTATATTAAGGTAATTTAGTATAATAGGTTTTATTTAATTAGTGTATCAAATAATATTTTAATTTATAGGTTATTAATGAAAGTGGCGATTGGCTTGTTGGCGGCAATCTTGATGTAATTGAACGTATATTGTGGAATGATGGTCTTGATGATTTGCGTTTTACACCCAATGAGTTAAGAGCTAAATGGAGGGAAATGAAAGCTGATGCAATTTTTGCCTTTCAATTACGTAACCCTATACATAATGGACATGCCTTATTAATGCAGGTTTGTTTCTAAATTATAATAAAAAAAAAATGTTTTGATTTTTAAAATAAAATTATTTTATTAGGATACAAAGAAAAAACTTTTAGAAAGGGGATATAAAAAACCAGTTCTTTTATTACACCCACTTGGAGGATGGACAAAAGAAGATGATGTACCTCTTAATATCAGAATTCAGCAGCACAAAGCTGTACTTAGAGATAAAATACTGGATCCAGATAGTACAGTATTAGCTATATTTCCATCACCAATGACATATGCGGGACCAACTGAAGTTAATATAATTTATTTAAATAAATAAACATATACAACCATTTTTAATTTTTTAATGATTTTTTAGGTACAATGGCATGCAAAAGCTCGTATGTGCGCTGGAGCTAATTTCTACATAGTCGGCAGAGATCCTGCTGGAGTTCCACATCCTGATGGAAACCCTCCTCGTGATTTGTATGACCCCACTCATGGTGCTCGTTTGTTGACAATGGCTCCTGGACTTTCTGATGTGGAAATTATCCCTTTCAGAGTTGCTGCTTATGATAAAACCAAAAAGGCCATGGACTTTTATGATTCAGCTAGACATAGTGACTTCAATTTCATTTCAGGCACAAAAATGAGAGGTAGATATATATTTTAATATATTATTATAAAATATATGTTATATACATAATATTTTTTAAATATATGAATTATGTGTTGTACATATTTATCAATGTTATTTTAGGTCTTGCTAAGGATGGTGTTGAACCACCATCTGGATTCATGGCACCCTCTGCATGGGAGGTATTATCAAGTTACTATAAATCTTTGAACAAAATATAGATCAAATTTTTAATATATGATGACAGTATATGATTCTACACTGTCTAAAGACATTCCTAGTTTGGATGAAATTAATAAAATCATTCCTATTGCAATTTTTGTTTGTGTCCTTGATTTTTTTTTTTATTATATTATTGTATAACTAAAATAATGATACTTGGTGTATTGATTTAATTTATGATCAAATTTTTAATGTGTTTGAGTAAATAATAGTAGATATTACTTTGACTGTTTTTAAAAATATAACAAAGAAAAAACAAATAATTTTTTAAACATTAAATTATTTAAAACACGACTACCAGAAAGTTAACGTTTCAACTTAAAATTTAAATGTAATTGTACTTATACATTGATATGTAATTAATTTATATAATTTGAAAGCAATTTATTTACTGTTATTATTTTTACATCTAATTTATGTGTTACCTTGTTAATTTTTAAAGTTTTTAATTAAATAAATATAATTTTAATTACTTAATTAACCACATGTATTTGTATGATTAATTATCTTACAATTATTTTGTTATTAAAATGTTTATACTTAAGTTAAAATTGTAACATAAGTATTAAAATCTTTTCAAAATATTAATTTATTATTAATCATCAAAACTGCTTTACCAAATTTTTATTTTAGCTTTCATTCTTAATTCAACATTATCTACAAGTTTGACTGCTAAAATATTTAACTAAGCATACTCTTTATTTAGTGATCTTCCTATGACAAGCCTTCTTATTTCATTAGTTCCAGCTCCAATATCGTAGAGTTTGGCATCTCTTAAAAGTCTACCAGAAGCATAATCATTTATATAACCATTTCCACCTGTTATATAGAATTCAATTTTATTTTTAGGACTTGTTAGGTTGATAAATTTTATCAACCTAAAATGTGTTTTACCTATTATTATGGTAATAAATTTTACGTGACAAATTCATTTTTTTAAACTAAGAATAAGCTTATGACTATTTGTTATTATTATAAGAGTTAATAATCTCCTTAACGTTAACGTCCCCTACTTTTCTCACATTGTTTACACATACATACACTATGTATGAGATGACTATAATACATTAACACAGTATGATGTAGTATAGTGAGAGAATTAGGTCTCTAAAATTTTAGAAATGTGCATTATTATTAAAAGTTCCCAATTAATAAAAAATTAAAAAAAAATTTGACTACATTACGTCTAAGATGTAATTGTTCCTACCTAAACATTGAATGGTATCCAAAGTTACTTGAATTGCTCTTTCGGAAGAGAAAAGTAAAACTCCTGCGCAATCTTTGCTATTTTTATGACCTTTATCACATGCATTTCCCACACTATACAAATAACTTCTACAAGCACTCAAATTAGTGTACATATCAGCAATTTTACTCTAAAAAAAGTATGTCATGTAATCAGTAAAATTTGAGATTTATATGTTTTAGATACAAGTTAAGGCTAACCAAATTTATAAAAATAAAATAGTACAACTTATTCAGAATTATTCTGAAAAAAAATGTTAAATTTTGAATAATCTTTATGTAACGGTGTTTTTATGTTTTAAACATGTTCATAACACCAAACATTTCAAAATTTACATTGATCTAATAGAAAATTTTAATTTTCTTAAATTTTTTTTTATATTAACATGTTTTTTTAATAATCCTGTTATGTAAGCAATTTAATTATTTACTTGTATTAATTGGAACTCTCCGATTTTTTGGTTAAATTGTTCCCTGGAGTGTACGTAATCAAATGATAAATCTACAGCGGACTGCATTATGCTACAAAACAGTGAAACAAATTAATATTAATATAAATTAATTTCAACTAATTAGTAAAATTAATGGCAATTCAGACATGAGTTATATCAGAAACATAAAAACTGAAGAAAATGTATGTCGGTGGTCTTAGAATTTATTACAGGTACTTTTTTTATACTTTTGTTATTTGGACGAAAATTTACATTAAACTATTTAAAATACATTCTAGGGGGTCTAGATTAGTTTCCCGTAATTCTGCAAAAATTTTGAACAATATATGGAAATTTATAAAGAAATATTTTTAAAGAGAAGAGAAATTAAGTTAGATACCCCAAAAATTTTGTTCAAATTGCGCTTATGCTATACTTAATTCTTAACTTTCTCTAAAATAATCGATAACAACTAGACCTTATATTTATTATATTATGTGAAATAGTAAAAAAAAAAATATATAATTGAGTTTAATATATGTACACCACTTACCCAACCGGACCAGCAGCAAGCACCAATCTTTCTAAATCTAGTCCACTCATAAGAACATATACACCTTTATTTTCATCTCCCAATAAATTTTCGACTAAAAAAAAATTTAATTATTTATTTGATTATTTAAATTAATGCCTAAAAAGGCTCAAGTAATATAGTATTAATAAATTGACCTGAATCTTCATTAAATCTTAATCTCAAAAGTTATACAAAGGGGCAAATTTCAAGGATCTAAATTGCTAATTTATTCAAAAACATTTGTAAATTGTAGTGTAATCACGGAGAGAATATGACATTCATATTCACCCCATGATAAATAAAATTATATGGCAAAGGTACATTTTTTTTCATTTGAAGAGGAAGTAAAAAAAATTTTTATTCTTACTTCTTCCCAAAACAAAACTTAATTACGCTATTGGTTGTTGTAAATTTGTATTTTAACTAATAAATAACATTTTTTGAAATACTATGTACACTTGTGTTACTTTCATTATTAATTGAAAATTAACTAAAAAAAAAACGAATTAATTAATTATTATAGTTACTCCTAGTAATTCTTATATTATACTTCGAATATAAAAATGATCTCACCTGGGACTTTACAATCTTGAAATATTAGTTCACACGTATTTGAACCTCTCATTCCAAGTTTGTCTAACTTAGGACCTGTGCTGAATCCTTCAAACGACTTTTCAATGATAAAAGCTGATATTCCATGTTGCTTGGCGTTTTGATTTGTTTTAGCGTAAACCTTTTGACAAAAATTACATTAATAAAATAACAAGATTCTTAGAAATTGGTTTAAATTTAAATTAATAATTAAAAATGCTTTATGATAGCAAAAATGTCAGTCAATCCTAAAAATAAAATTATGCTTTTTAAAGTACGAGTACTAACGACAAGTTTTAAATAATAATAAGACTTAAAAGTAATAATCAAACAATTTATTAAATTTTTACTTCTAGGTACATACTAATTGAAAAAATTCAATTATCATTTTACTTTTTTCAATATGTCTGGAAAATATATTTTATATTTTATTTATATTAGATTACTGGATTATGTTGAAAAATTTTGTATAAACATTTAATAAAATTCAATAAAATATTGCAATTTATATAAGATTTTTTTTTTATTACTAAAAATAATTACCAAATAATTGCAGAATACTCAATCTAGCTATTCTCTTTCACAATTTTTTTTTTTTAGCTTTTATATTACCAAATCCAACCGATTTTTGTTATTAATGTAAAAAATATTTTCGGCACCCAGGAAACAAAGTAATGGTTATTTTTCAATTATTCATCCTTACCACAAGCACATCGGCATCAGGACCATTGGTAATCCAGAACTTATTGCCATTTAAAATATAATGCGAACCTTTACGCTCAGCTTTTAGTTTCATGGAAACTACATCCGAACCCGATCCTGGCTCTGACATGGCTAAAGCTCCAACAGCATCACCTCTACATAGCTAGAATATTTATTAAAATGAATTATAAAATTATGTTATTGAAATATATTACGAGTATAAATTCAGATAACTTGATGATATAATGGGTAAAATAGATTAATTCTATGTTAAATAAAAAGATATTAACAAATTTTTATCTTAGGTCTACAGAAGTGGAGGGTTAAACTTAAGTACGATTGGCACTTGTTAATATGTTGGCTACCTGGAGCCGAAAGAGAATACAACTGAAAATGCTTAACAATAAAAATAATAGGACCTACGCCTTCATTTAAAAGTAATAGTATCCAACCAGTGATTTTTTTTGATGAAATTATTTTCTAATTGTTAATACTCGCTACTAATAGTGAAATAAATGCTCACGTGTATATGGAGTTTTTGAAAATACTTTGTAAGGTATAGTTATGTAGTTATTTTGAAAACAAAGATTTGTGAACTAGGAAAAGATAATTTATGTTTACCACGGTTATTGTTGGATAAAGTATAAGTTATCTATGTTATAATTTAATACAATTATTTTTGTATTATCCAAATAAGAAAGATAAATTAAAATGAAGACAATGCTAACTGGAGGTAAGTATTTCTTTTTTTGTTCATGTGTGCCATTCAAACGAATCTGGTTCATGCACAAGTTTGAATGAGCTCCATAACTTAATCCTACGGCTGGACATGCTCGTGATATTTCTTCAACGGCTAATATGTGATCCATATAACTGCCACCAGTTCCTTCGAATTCTTGTGGAATAGTTATCCCCAGTAAACCAAGTGATCCTAATTCTTGCCAACATTTCTGTAATACATTTTTATTATCAATTCTACAGGAAATATAAATTTAACGTAAATGTCTAGTCATATGGAAGTAGGTACAAATTTTGGAAGAGTTTACAGGAGAGGAGGAGGAGTTTATACAAAGTATTAAACAAGGGAACATTAAGAATTTTTTGAAGGAACGCAAAAAGTATTTATCTGTCAAAAGAAATTGTTTGTTAATTTTATCGTACTAAATACTTTTTTTTAAGTAGGCGATAATAGTCCAAGGAGTTATAGTTCCAATTTTTTGTGTAGTATTCTTTGGTCGTATAATTAAAAATGAATCATTTTTATTACCCTTAAATCACGAAAAGTATTAGTTTTATCGATTTCAGCTGCTTTTGGAGCCAACTCTCTTTGTGCATAATCGAAGACAGTTTTTCTTAGCTGAAACCGTAAAAGGGAACACAAATAGTATAATTGATCACATTGAATAAGAATATTACAGTTATTTTATTTTTAAAATCATGTATAAGAATTTATGTTTCATTTATTCAAATTTTATTAGATATTAGATTTTGTTACTTTTCCACTTACAGTTATTTTTTTTTATAAAATCAAATTATAAAAAAATTATTTAAAGTTTTTACCTGGATTTGTTCTTCGTTTAATCCAAAAAATCTATCGTCTATTGGGTAATGTGATAAACTTCTTTGGAATATTGGTATACGGTTAAAATGTAATGTTATATTACTTCCAAAGCGAATAATTTTGTTGAGAATCAACATTTTTACACAAAAAAATAGAATTAAGAATACTGTAATCGTTAACTAGAATTAAAAAGCCAGAAATTTAATGATAGTTTTAGGCAATAAGTCAATATTTTTCTCTATATAACTTGAACATTTTTCTTGACGTCATCTGCTAAACGTCAATCTTTATTATTGTTAGTAGATCAATGAGGTAAATGAACAGAAACATAGAAAATGATTCAATAATTATATGTAGATCAACATAGGACTAATTAAACGTGCATCATAGGTATATTAAGATAAAATATAAACTCACGTATTGACCAATAAACGTGTTTTAATTTATGATTATTCTTCTAAGATAGTGAAAAATGATCTAATATAACTAATTGATAATAGTGTACAAAGGTTAAACAATGGAACTGTAAATATTTTAGAATATAATTCTGTAATATATAACCAATGTTTTAACCATTTATAATAACATCATATTCATAGTATACAAATAATGAAAATATTTATTTATCAATAGATTAAGAAAGAACTATTGTTATATTCTTGAATCGTATTATTCATACTATTTTACATAAAGAATATGCTTCATTTATTTTCATCTTTAGTTTCTAATATATATAAACATTTTAACCCTGCCAAAATGTTTGATTTGACAATAAGCAATTTAAAATAACGTGGGATAAAAAAGTAGGTATTAAATTTTTTTATAAAATAGCAATCTATTTTTTACTAAGAGAAATAAAAGTTTTAATTCTTAACTTAATAGGTAAGAATAGTATTCTGTATAGTAAATACATCTTACTTCATTGATTATAATCAATAAAGATATATGCCCCAATTAAATGTAAAATCTAATCAAAATCCTAAATACAAGAATTGTTTAATCATAATAATGGATACAACATTTTTTATTTTACTTAAACTTTGATGATGTTTCATAACATTTGTGTTCTTTAATTTTAGATCAAATTTTTTTAAGAACTCATAAAATGTACTTTATGATTAAAAAAATGAATACGCCTACAATTTTTTTTAAGTAATAGACATCCAAAGATATTTGTAAAATATACATTAAAATTTTTCAATTTTTTTTAGTCTTTCTATATAAACAATCGCATTGAAGTATTTTATACAGTGATGTCTACTTACATTATTAAATTTCAATCTGTACTGATGGAGGTTATTACGCTGGATCCCTACTACGTTGAGTTTTTAAAATTGTATCTAATTTTATAAATTATTAAAATATTTCTATGGAAAAGATGAGAACTGTCTATTATAATGAATACACAGAACCAGTCTATATTACTATAGTCTAGATATATAGACTACAAAAATATCGCTCAGTTTACAATAGTATATTTATGGTCGACACAATTATCAAAAAAAAAAAAAAAACAGTACAAGTTGGGGACCGGTATAATGGAGTCCGGAAAAGAGAGAACCGCCATTTATTATAGCCACGATTATAATTGCGATTTCAGCTTTGGATCTAAACTAAAATGAATAATAAATATAGTTCAATGTTCAAAAAGTTCTATTGCAAAAATTATACATTAAGTTTTTATTTATATAATTATTATGTTTAATTATGAAATTTAAAATTTAATGAATTTTAATATAGATTGGTTATTAAAAAAAACAGTATACAATTATATTGAAAAACACATAATACTGATTATACTTTATAAATAGGCGAGTTTAATTAATAATTGTAATTAGCAATACAAATAATTTACTCGTAAAATTATTAAATTATGTTACGAGTAATATGTATTCTCTGACATATCATTTCTTCTTAAAATTGAAAACTATTAAAAAAAAGACAATTGTTAAAAATTTGTGTTTATGTTAGAATACAGTGAGAAATATTTTATAAAACATAAGAAATGTAAATAATATACATTTATAATGACAATAAGTAATTTAAATATCAATAAAATTAAAAATTATTTTTTAGTCTTTAAATGACATTGTAACATCAATATTCAAACAAGCCTCGGTAGCGCAGTAGGCAGCGCGTAAGTCTCATAATCTTAAGGTCGTGAGTTCGATCCTCACCCGGGGCAGTTAGTTTTTGTTTTTTTTTTCCTTTTTCACTTAGTCTGGTTTAATTACAGAATTCTACAAATTGCAATGAAAAAAATGTGAAAAGATATGCTTAATAAGATACAAAACATGTTAAGAAATATTGTGGTATAAAAATATTTATACACATTTTGACGGATGATTTTTGAGTAAATTTCTAAAGAGGTATGGATTGAATTTTGTCGATTATTGAATAAAATTTGCTAAAAAAAGGACTTTAATTAGTAAAAAGTCCACATTTTTCATTATATGAATTAGGTGTATAGATGTTCGTAAGTAAGAAAACGGGTTTCTATTGTTCTCATTATTTGTCCTGTTTCCTTATTTACTTAACACTGTATAATGTATAATAAACAATTATGAAAATTTTTGTCAATAATGAGTCATAACCAATATTAATATTAAAATTATTATTTTTACATATAATTAATTAGCCTAATTTACTAGGAAAATTAAAAATAATTTTATTATTATACACATAATATTTTTAAATTAAAATCATTATTATATTATAACATCATTATAATCAACTTTTTTTAATTTTTAATATTAATACACAGATTCAACTTTTTTACAATAAAACTACTCAATGAACTTCACAGCTGCGAATAAGTAGCGAGAAAAGTTTTTAAATAGAGATATGTTGTACTTTAATTTGTAGTAACACTGTACCGACAAATGATTCTATAATTAAGTTAATACGCCAAATATTTCATGAAAATATCGGTTATACTTTACTAATATCAAAATGTATCCACAGTACTATATTATTGTTGTAACTATATTATAAGTCACTTTTTAAATCTCTAGACTAAGGCAATAAGGTAAGATATTTTAGATATTCAATATTTAGTTGTTTTGTAAAATTATTTAATTTTCTTTTCTGAAATTACAAAAATAATTATGTACATATGTGTGATAACGATGTATAAGAATATGATCTGCATGAGGCGCATGGCTTAAGTATATTTAATTATCTTTGAAAATAGAAATAAACTTCATTTACATCTTATTAAATTAATAATATTTATTTTATTTGTATAGCATAAATAAGAAAAAAATAATAATAATCGAAATACATATCTATAAATATATTAATACAAATCTAGCTAAAATAAAATAAAAATTGAATAAAATTTTATTATATTTTTAATTTTTAATACATATTTAACAATAATATATTTTTACTTTATGATTTTACGAAAAATTACTTAAACAGTTGTTTTTGGAATAATATATTATATAAAAGTATTTTGTAATAACTTGTTTCAGATAAGTAACAACTTATATCTCTGGTTGTTAGTATTGATTACCTGAAATGTTACACATTTTGACAAAATTAAAACATGATTTATTTAAATGGTTTATATTTTTATTATAGCTTAGAATTTACTAATTGAAATAAAATAATACAGATTTGGATAATTAAGGCATAACGGAAATAAGTGCAGAAAAAATAAATAAATTTGATTACATCTAATTATTAATTACATCCAAACTATGAAAAAATTTAGCTTGAATAATTATTGGTAAATTGTAGAAATGAGTACCCAAATATAGAGCAGCCAAAAGTAACTTATGGAAAACTAATAGTTTTGATTGTTTTACTGAAAATTTTAAATAAAAAATTTTAGTACTTAGATTACTTGTGTGCGACGCGAAATACTCGGACGACCAATCGCCGAATGAAATCACGTCTCTAAAGGTTCCTTTATATACAATTAAAAAATAACGTTTTTAATGGACTGTAATTTATTTACCGAATTAAATATGTATTCCAATATAATAACTACAATGAATTTTCTTATATCTATGGTTAGTACACTTATTTAGTTAGAATAATATCAAGAACACAACACAAATATATTAACAAATTAATATTTAAACAAAAACAAATATGTATATATTCTGACCTTGCCTTGTACCAGAATGAATATTGTTGATATATCAATTACTGTATTGAGCCCGACGCAATCAAAACACAGTGAATTGAACCATAAAAACCATCAAAGGCAAGCCGTACAAAAAAACAACCGAATCCGTGACACTTCACATGAATACTCTAGACAGGCCGGTACGCGAATGAATCCTTCACGATCACTGCCACACACTACCCCAACAGATAAACCAGTTGTGGCATGTCGCGCTCTTGTTGAAGAGATGAAAACTACCAAACTGTTTCATCACGACCGAACAACTTGGATTAGCTATGCTTTAATCATTAAGGAAAATAAAAAATACAAATTTTAATATCTTGCGAAACTTTCTTTTATTATCTAAATATTTAAAATAAACAAATTGTATAAACGTTATATTGTTACTTCAAGTACAAAAAAAAGTAATGGAAATTAATGTACAATTTTTAAATTAAATTTTACTTAACAAATAATCTTTGAATATATCTTGCATGTTTCTTGATTATTTTTTAATATAATTTATACTTAAAATTCATTTTTATTTCATTAAACATTGTTTATCTAAAATTCAATTGTTAAACTTATTTAACGTTACGTTTAAATAATACATTTTGATTAAATTATTAACAATGTACTAATTATGCTAATTTCTCCACTAAATTTGACTAATATATTTTACATCAGAAACATTATTTTCGCTAAGTTTGTTATTAATCTGTAAATAAAACTATAGCAAACAGTTGAACAGCGAGATTGCAAATCGATATTTTTTTGATCATTTATGGTAATTTTTTGATTTTCATTAGCAGAAGATATTGTATTATTTATTATGTATATATAGCATGATGGCATAGTACTCATCGTAGTGATAGCATGTTCACCGTTCACACTAGCTGCGTCTCCTGATATTAACTGAACGGGTCCTTCACCATCATCGACAGTCACTACTCCTTCTAGTATTGATAAAATAATTTCGGTGTCATTATCAAAATAATTATGAACTTTCATACCTAAAAGAAATAAAATAATAAATGTTGTTTGTATAAATAAAAAATCAAATTAGCTTGTAAAAAATAGTGTCCGAAACGTTAAATTATTATTTTTTTGAAATAAATTACCTTTAAACTTTTACTTAAATGAATCGATAAAATGTTTACAATAGTAACTTATAATGCATAATTATATATGAGTTGAACGTCTGAAAAACATATTTATATATGAGGGGTATAAAGTAAATTATTATTTCAACAAACAATTATTTATTAAAGATACAACGTTTTTCAATTTAAGCGCTTAAACTTTTGCATCTGATTTTGTTTATAGTGGCCATAAAATAACCATAAAAAAATAAACATATAGGAGTAGTTGTAACTTTTTAAAAGTTGGATTTATTAAGGTTTTTATATTAGAGTATTTAATTTTTTTGTAATTTATAGTAAAGATATAGGTATAGGATATATAACATTAAATAACTTCACGTCAAGTTGTGAATACATTATTTTAATTTTTTATTGATTTAACCTTTTATGAACGTTCATGAACATAGGTAGTGCTATTATATATACATTTTTACCAGGGAAATCGGCCAAAAACATAAGATCAAGTTGTGCTTGGTTCTTGGCGTCAACTATTAAAGGCCGCCATTTATCTAAGTGACGCATTATGGGCATCAACCACACAACTTTGGACCACGGAGACCAAGGGGCCTTAAGTATGTCAATTTGGGGATCAATCAAACGTTGATGAAAACGACCGTTTAATGATGCCCATATGTCCATGTGTATTGTAATGTTTGTTCGATCAGGCATATTGGCAGCTGCACATTGAGCAAATTGCCGTATCATATCACCGTGTAATATCCATTTGCTATTTTCTGTCCAGGCCTAGAAAAAGTTTCAATATAATTAAACATAAAGATAAATTTGAATTAGAGCTAAAATTTTCTGTATCAATATCTAATGTAGGTATAAGTTTGTCTTAATATTCCCACAAAAAATCCAGGGAATAAGTTTATACCCTCTAGTTTTCCTTCATCTCCCAAAATCGTTTTCTTTTGTAGAGAGATGGGAATTTTCAAACTATTTTGGGTGATCAGTGTTTTCTTCAAGTGCCATCCCAGTGTATGAAAAATTACACAGGTAAGAATTTTTTTTTATTATTGCTTACGTGAGGATCTAAATAAAATTGTTCGTGGTGACTATGATCAACTACTTTAATTTGAATCTTAGCTACATCAATGTTGTACACCATCATATCCCAAGAATAACCGTACAAACCATTGCGCCATCCATTATAACCCTTACAACAAAATTATTTATTTGGAATCGAAAGTATTAAAATATTAAGATAGAGCATGATAAAATAAAACATACTTGTGTAATAAAGTGTGAGTAAGGTAAAAACATTTGCAATGTTGTATAAATGCATATACCAGCCACTATAAGATTTTGTTTAAGAGGCGACGGTAGCTGCGGGGTAGGTTTATTATATGGTTTATAGTTAACAAGACTCGATAATTTTTGAGATAACCAATCTGTGTTACAAAATACTGGTAACATAGCAGTACACATATATGGGAACATACCTTTAAACAAATATTAGAGTATTGATTAAAGAAAATTTTTATTTGTATGACATTTGAAAATGTTTGATTTTATAGAACAATAATTAAAAGTTTCTTTATATTTTATATGGATGTGTTATTATTTTGTTTTTTCATTTATAAATACTTTGACCACTGAACATTTTTAATAAATAATCAGTGTGGAATGATTTATTTATAGGGTTTCAATATCTTCTGTAATCTTTATGCGAATTAATTCTCATTTTTTTCAAATGGTTTACATTATAATATTACCTATGGAAAACATCATTGAATTCATAGAGTGAAAAGCTATTAGAACAATAAGTGTAATTTTCCTAGTAGATTGAAATATTAGACCAAAACCGGATAAAAGATCTATAAGGAATCCAGATACATGCACTATCCAATGATCAACAAACTTAGCCGGAAAAAAGTACCTAAGGAAAAAAATGTTAATTTTTATTTTATGCTCATTAAACTAAATCCTACCTGAATGGTCTAAAAACTGTGTGGTATCCTAACGACATCATTGAGTAACCGGATAGCCAGTCGGGCTCCAGTTTCTTTAAACCGGCCACAAAATATAAAATAAAAAATTGTATTTTCAATAGCATATAGTTCCATTGAGGTACCACATTAGAAGTCTTCTCTGGTATTTTTCCCAACATTTTATCGACAGACCAAGTGTTATGTGCATCAATAACGGAAAATAATAGGATTAGTAATCCAAAAAGGTATGAATGATTATTCCAAGCACTTTTGTCAGCTAAAAGTATATACCAATAAAGAATAGCATAGATAACACAACTTGTGCGATAGTGGAAACCAATAAGAATGCCTAATATTCCTAAAATAATTTGTACATAATAAATAAATAATTTAATATAAAATTTCTGAAAACTATTATGTGTAATAAGGTGTCTAAGTGAAATACATAATACTCGCCTGTAAACATTGTAGCATAAACCAAGCACATCCATTCACCTGGTAATGGCTGTATAAAGTCAACTAAAGGAAAATAACACTTGGCGGATTCCATCCATCGTTTTTCAACACGGCAAAATCCTCGTTCATCAACTGTATCAATTAACATGAGAAATCCTACAAATATAATGTTTTTAATTTAAAAAAATGTTTAAAATATTTTTAGTAAATATTTACCAAATATCATACGCAATGCTGCTAAACAAGTGCCATCTTGATAATTAAACATATAATTGACTAGCTGATTCCATACTTTAACAATTTTTTGAATCACAACTGTTAGCCACTGGTGACAAATAAATTGCTTTTTAAAGGTAGGGGCATCTACATCCATGGCGAATTAATATCTTAATGAAGAATTCTCTCGCTACCAAACTGCCTGTAGTGTACAATTTTACGCATCGTTTGCTGATTGGAATTATATGACAAGTATAAGATGTGACATAAAATTATAATATTATCTAGTAATAATAGAATCGGATGGGGATAAATATTAAGTATATATTAATGAAGAAAACTGACAAGAGAGTGATGAGATAAGAAATAGAAATTACATAGTATTTAAAATTATATGGCTTTTTAAAATTCGGTGAATTTAAATAAAACACAAGCTTGTTCCCAGTTTCTGTCCTTAGCATTCTTTTTGTAATACATTTGTTATTAAAAAAAAAAAAATGAATGGCTAGATGTGGCATTACATACTTAGGTTCAATTTCGAATTTACGGTAATTATTTATAGTAATATTGTCGTTAATGAAAAATATATCAAACACGTAGTATTGTTAATTTGATAATTGTATTTTTCAATAGCATAAACCATAGGAAATAATTATATAAACGTTTATGTGGATATAAACATTTAATTTCTCATCTGTTTCAATTTTTCAAACATTTTAGCATTACACTGATAGTGATTTATAATAAGTCAAATAAATAAATAAAAATCGATTAAATAGCAAGTTTTAAGTATTGATTATGTTTTAAAAATGACAGCTTTCAAAATGTGCAAATATAATTTTAAAAAATTAAAAAAGTTTTTGAAAAATGAACGATTATTTACAAAAATCCCATTTTTTCATAATATTTAAATGGAGAGAAAAGTACTCTTAAGCGACTTCTAAGAGTTTATCAAAAAAGCTCAAAATTTGAATAGCTAACTTCATTTGGTACGTACTAATGATTTTCGTAAAAAATATATATATTTATGTATGCAGAGTGTTCAATAAGTAAGGAAACAGACCAATTGTTTCAAGCAATTAGAACAATGGCAACCCGTTTCCTTACTTATTGAACATTTATATATAGTTTTAAGGGATTTGTTAATTTAATATTAAATATTTTATACACAATAAATTAGTTTTCATGCAATAAAAGTAATAATTATTATAGCTCTTTTTGTGAATGCCTCGGTCATAAAGCATTGAGTAATTTATTACATTAAACGTTTTCCAAATTAGGAAATAAATTATGTATATATTATATATTTTAGTGTATTATATTAAAATTAAGCGCATATTCTTAAGATAATGTAGGCAACACTGTAATGCTGGAGTTTGCCCCTAAAGCTGGATCTTCATATCCCTATTCCAGAATTCTGGCTGAACAGGTTGGAGACTTCAGCAGTCTTTCGATTTAGAACCTGATTGGGTTCTATGCGTTAGGCGTAACAGAGAGACGTCCGCGTCGGCCGCGATCAGTCCAAGGCTGCTTTGACATCACTGGTAAACCGGGGAAATTGGAAGCTCACGCTGTCGGCTAAGCGTACCAGATTCGTGGTGTCGGACTCAGTTGGCTTGGTTCAATGCTTGAGGGGCACGTAGGGTTGCGTTATTCCGATATATGTGTATAACCTTTATATTGGACAGGGGGTCGCACCCTGATCCCAGCTACGTCCCTCTGTTTTCACTTTGTGAATAGAAGGTCATAGTGGTGATCTGCCGTTCACCTTAAATTACGACTAGAGAGCAGTTTCGGTGGTGGGTTTCCGGGAACCCATTCTAGGATAGGTTTCTGCTATACTGGGCGAGGAAGGCCCGTGGCATCATCCTTTATAATCGTGAACAGGTCGTGCTGCCCCCTTTCTTGTTGTGATAGGTAAATAGCCTACAGTGCATACTCCGGAAATGGTTAATGGAACCAAGACTCCCCGGACCTTTACCTCGAGTAGCCTGGGGGCCAAATCCCCCGAACGGTAAGGAGTAACTATGACTCTTTTAAGGTACTATATTAAAATTAAGAGTATATTCTTAAGATAATGTAGGCAACACTGTAATGCAACGCTTTATCGTAGCATAATTGCCTAATCGTAGTGCCGTCTGGAATTTTGAATATTAATTCGTTTAAATCGGGCATCCTATACAATGGTTAAAACAAAATTTGGCAAGTAATTTTTTTTAATAAACTAATAAATAACTCAATTATTTAAAAATATATACGAAAAGCCAACAAAGACGCATTGAAACTGTATAAAATGTCTGTTTCTTGACATTTAAAATTTTTAGTATCACATTTTGTGTACATATTTACCAATTATAACCCTCACTATCTAAATTGGAAAATATTTTTTTAAAGTATACTTCTCTTAAATATGATTTTAGATAAATTACTAGCTCTAGCAAACATATCTATGTCTATATTTCTATTGAAAAATGTAAAATGTCTGATTCAATTTTTGTATGGAATGACGGGGCATTCTACTACAATGCCCGTTTTTATCAATTTTGCATCTAACATACACACATATATATATATTACAAAATTAACATAAAATAGGTTTTCAAATACTTATATAAAATTATAAATAATTTATATAATTTTGCTTGATAAATAATTCGTTTTCTAGATATTTTAATTTTATATTTTAAGAAATATAATTTTATTGGTTAAAATTATTTAACTGAAGGGTTCCTACATATTTATAACCTACATTATGTTTATTATTCAAATAAAATGGTCTCTTTTAAATAATGATAAAAATTAGGTTTAAGAATTTTTTTTCAATGAACTACTATAAACTTAGTTGTATTTATAGAATAGATACCATAATTTGTCGTAAAGTATACATTTTTTATATTAGTCCATTATCAATCGATTATTCATTATTGATGTTTCTATAAAAATAGTTGTAGTCAAGGTATAACAGCTGAGAAATTTACTATGGTATGGAAGTTAAACACCTATTTTTAAAAAAAGATAAGAATTTATAAAAGGTCTACTTTAGGACATATGTCAAATTAACTTCAAAAACCTGGCTATGGTTTTGATTGTTAAAAACAATTCAAATTAAATAAAAATTTGAAAGGAATTTGAGATTTTAGTCTAAAATTTATAAATTTGATATCAATTAATACATGTGTATTTGTCATAATTAAGAACACAAAATGTGTCATTGGAATATACAAGAGTATAAGAGAAATACAAAGAAGAATAAAAGAAAAAAGTTTTCATTATCATATAGTTCTTTCACTATAAGACGCTAGTCTATCCTTTTGATTTATCTCCAGTATTTATAATTGATATTCTTTAATTTAATTTGATTATTACGGCGTTACAGTATTGTAACATTATTGTAAGTTTTATAATATATTTTTTAAATATAGTTCTTTTTTTTTACTTTTACACTCAAAAATATTTCTATTTAAATTATGCAAGTTTATTCGTTTTCATAAACTATAAAATAATATATAGAATTTTACCTATGTTGCTTGAATCTTACAGGTATATCCAATTAATCAAATTTGTTCTGTGTTTCAAATGATTAGTGCAAAAATATTGTAATTTTTGTAAATACTTAGAGGAGTGTATAGACTTCACTAATAATTGATGATGGTTACCAGTGTTGAATTCAGATATTTAGTTATATTTTTATAAAATTACTACTACAAAAAAAAAAATTGACTTTTAACTCGATATTAAATTAAATATCGTGACAAACTTTGAAAGTAGCTATATTATCACTGTCACCTTGAGATGATCACAGTCAATCAAAATAACAATGATCTCTAGTTCCCTAAAGTGTACCCGAATTCAACACTAATTGTTACATTATCTCTCTTTAAGTGTGTATCTATTACATAATGTCGTCTACATAGCCCAGTCACATATAATATTTTGAAAACTTTATTATTTTCGAGAAATACAAGCTTACATGCTTGAATAGTCATCAGTAGGCTGGAATTAAGTGGAGCTATGACCTTTAATCTTATGAGTAATAGGGGGCCTCGTTGAAAAAAATCTAGTGTTGTATTCCGCCTAATTAGGTAAAAACTTAAAAAAATTCATAATTATATAAAATATGTAAAAGATGGTTGTATGTAAAAAGGTTTCTTTACCTGCAGTTTTTATGTTGTAATAAAAACATTGTTTTCAGTTTTTATGAAAACTTTTCTCTGGAGTCTATTAACATATTTGCTATATAATAGGTAATAATAGGTTTGATTGAGTTAGGTTCAACACAACCAAACCGAATAGATATAATCTGGAACCATCGTATGAACTTAGTAATTTATTGTAGATCTCATTATTAAATTTCATTTTTTTATTTATATTATGTTTTTAATAAAATTGAACTTTAGAGATACATAATGTTATAAATATAGTGTAAAATTAGTAGCAAATTAGTTTTTTAGTAAAATGTTGTTGCCCAAAAGGGTGTTTGCATTTATACTTCATCATATAAATAAGAACATATAAAAACAGCTGTTATCCCATTAATGTTATTAATGCTATATTATTTACAATTATTTAATATTTAAGTTAGAACTAATATATATGAGAGTTAAGATCATTTAAATTTTTATTATTCTCATTGAATCAATTTTTTAATATTTCTTATTATGCACGGTAATAAAAATATCTTGGCATACAGTTATTAATTCTAATATATCTTATTGTCAGAAAAACACATATTTCATTATCAATATAAAATTATAGTCACCCTGAAAGTTTTAGTTATCTTATTGTATACATTATATTGTTGTTCTCCTAAATGTAGCCTAACTTCTTTTGCTTTTTACCATCGATGTTTTCCGTCATTCATGTGATATTGTTATGAAATAGTCATTTTTTTAATAGTCCATCTTTCCTTTTTTTTCAATAGTACAATATATTAAAACTACATTAAGGACGATATGACCGAGTCGGTAACGCGGCAGTGTTTGATGCTTACTGTCTCGGGTTCGACACTCGGTCACGGGCGGCTTCATTTGCCAAGCGAGAGATCGGTTTGGTAATTAAAGTAGCCATCCCTCTCTCCGACGACGGACTTACCACCCGTCCTGGAGTATTATTGAATTAGAAACCTCCTCCTTTGGGGAGGTCGCTATGGTCCTTATGGGCTTAAAAAGCGATAAAAAAAAAAAAAATTAAAAATACATGTATGTATGGATTTTTATATATCTTAAACAATTTAAATGCAAATATAATGCATTTAATATTTACTAGTGGTTTAATTTTCATATACTGATTATAAAAATACATTAATTAATATCCATGTAATATGTAATTAATTGTTTATATATACAACTATTACAGTTAAGCCACCTTAAAACATAGTAAAATATATTAGCTTTAATGATAAGAATAATTAAAAACAGAAAATTTGTATAACTTAATGGTCTTGATATAATTGTATTACTATGATTAAATTACACACATCTATATATTCAAAAATACTGTAGTTATTCCATTATCGAGAGTGAACATTTTTTAAGTGTTGAAGTAATTGAGTACGTGACATTTATAATGATAAATAACCAATACATCATCTAGCATATTATTTTACTTACAAATATTCGATCAAAATAATGAGGAAACTATTCTACTGAATAAAACGAATTTTGTTAACAATTACAGAGGCATTAATTTGACGCATAAGCCTTATCCGGTATGTGTCTGTATGATTTAACAGGGTCACAAGATCAAGAACAAAGATATTATAGCCGATCTACTGTGGTAGGTTAAATGTTAATCCGTTAACACGTACAAAACTCAACTGTGTGACATTAATAATAACATTTTAATGAGTAACATTTATTCCAAGCAGTGCCTTCGTATGATATGTTGGCGGCGAATTTATTTTTGTTGTTTATTGTTAAGGAAGTGTACTGACAGGCAAGACATAAAAATCGAATCTGACCGTGTCTGAGCAGTTTAAATCTTGGTAAATGCTTTAGATATATAAAACATATTCTTATTGTGTGGTTTTTAACTTACCTGATTCGAATGGTTTATAACAATAACTTATTTTGTTCGTGGTCTATTTTAATAATATATATATATATAGACAATTTTAAGTAGAATTATTATAATGTATTGAGTATAAATGTGTATGTTGGGCAATATGAGATTGGAAAATTGTCACATTGCATGTTAATGAGAGTGCATGTTTTTTGCCCTCGATCTATAAAATCTAGGATTGAACACACGACAGGATTCAAATAACATAAAACACTAACCAAAGTACAGTAAATTAATAACCTTTTTTTCTTCTAAAACAAGTCGTTTACAAAATTTTCTAATGAACATTGATCAATATAATTAATTATTAGATTTTATTGACAGCTAAAATCAATTATATTTATTATATATTATAGCTATAAGGAACCAATAATTATTATAATATATGATTAATATTTATACTAATAAATTATTTTCTACCGGTATTTAAATACACAATATTTTCATTAGTGTTCATACAAGCGTTATCTATTTAATGATTGTTTTTATATGATTCGAATAATTTTTGTGTCATGTGATATTACAAACAGCTATTATTTTAAGTAAATAATTATTAATAAATGGACGGCCATTATGTTTTATTTAAACATAAAAATTATAATACGCGTCGTTCGTACAAAGTAAAAAATTGTATGGTATATCACTAAAAAAATGGAACATAACAAACATCACAACCTTTAGCCTTATAGTAAAATATTAATCACTCACGCGTAATACACCTAAATAAAACAAAATAATAATAAATCATAAATTAAATAACTATTGTCTATAATTAAGTTAACAGGTATTTAGACAGCCCTTAAGAAAAATTTTTATGTAAATTTAGTCTTCTAATTTTTAAGAAATTAGCTATAACTATGAATACTATATTAAGTGGTTAGTATTTAGCGTTTGCGTAGTCATTTATTTATACAAGAAACAATTATCATTAAAATCAAGGACGGTCGAATTATATTTAAATAACAATTTATAAATTGTTATTTAACTATATCTATTATTCTTTAAAGCTTCTTTTTCTTCTTGTGGATTACATTTTTCTATATTGTATAATTTATTTAATGCATTGTAGTATATATATATATTAAGAATTTTATATTGAATTTATCAATCCGTAGTTGTTGTAGAATGTGCTCGGGTTAATGCCGCTGTCCAATGTTCAGTTACATCTGTCAAATGAAGAACAAGAACAAAAAAATAAATAAAATAAATATATGTCGGAATCCAAGTGCAAGAAAAAATATACACTCGCGTACATTACGTGTACACAAAAGACAATAAATCTTTGTTCGCTTTTTTTTGCTTCTTAACTTTTTGTGTAGGGCGAAATTTTTTTAATTTGATATTGTCGCATTTGTATTAATAACGAAATCAGGGTTTCTCGGAATTCTCGACCAGCGTTTATCGTGCATAAAAAATTGAGCACATAATTTTTTATTCATATCTAATTATACAAATAAAATTTCTATTTTTAATCATTGCATACAACGTCAAAGCCTAAATTATGTTTGTAAAATATTGGTTATACTTGGCTATGGATAAATACTTAGTAAAAGTTCCATTATTTATTTTTTAAATGAATAAATGATATTTAAAATTAGATCAGTATAAACACGGAAAAAACATTGCTAGAGCAATTCTTTGTAATAACAGAAAAGTTAATAAAAAAAATAAGATCATTTAAGTTGAAATAGATATAAATATGGTCGAAATGGATGTAGATATTTTTTTACGAGTGCGATTTAGTTTAGTTGAATACATTTGAATCGTTTAACAAGTGAAAATTAATATTTATGATGATTTTTTCCATTAAAGCTCTGATGATAATTCGATGTGTCCACAATCGGTAGTGTTTAATTTTGCCTAAGTTTCACCTTAGGCAAAGAGAGCCTTTACTTACTGGTAACACGGCAGGATCAATGCGCCGCCAGCCGAAATGGTTTGCTTTGCTTTCAGTGGTGTTCTGTTTCTTGTTTGGTTTAGTATCTGCAAACAAAAATCCACACCCCTATCGTGTACTGTATACGATCAAACTGCAAAAAACATTAAAAAATAATGATCGGTATAATGTTTGCATATTTACACAAAACAGACAATACAGCGATCATACTATAAAGCCTACTTAATATATCTAAAGTCATTGGACGATTTTAAAAATGAATTTTTACACAGGTAAATACAGTGTATGAAATTATGCAGTATCGACATCGTCCAGGAATAAAACTAAATAATATATGCTGAGTAAAAATATTTCTTAGATAAATGAAAAACCCTTGTTAGTAATTTAAGCCATCTACTTTTTTTGTATCCTATTGGTGAGCGTTAGTATATAATTATTTGTTAATCAAAGCATTACAAGAATAGTTAATATTAGTATAAGTAATTTTGTTTCTAATTGTTTTTCTTGATCTTTAAACATATTATTACCTTTTTGTGTTTTTGGGAGTGATTGAAATGACTCGTCCAGTTCGTGCTTAAGAAATTGCATGAAACGTTTGGGAAAATAGGTTTTTTTTTTGTACACATCGTTCACCCGCCACTTCCAAAAGAGAAGTAAAAAGCGAAAATAAAAACATAGTATAATAATATATAAATATTATGCCGTGGATGTTTGTATGCTGTGGCTACAAGTTATTAATTTTTGTTCCGTTCCTTCGTGGGGTATAACTGTACAACTTGGCAAAGAATATAGGAAGCTTGTATCACACAAATGAACCAAAAAGAAAATATAATAACAATAATAGTAAAAATAATAATTAACTATAATAATAAACTATAAAATAATAAAGCGAAATAAAAAGACTGTTCACCTTTTTTTATCAGAATACTGTACAAGTCATTTTATTTACACAATCATTTGTATTATCAAAAANTGATTTAAAAATATATATTTATAAATACGTTTATAGTAAATTTAATTTGCGTATAATGATAATAATAATTAATTATAATAATTATAATAAACCTAACAATAATAGGATCCAGACAAGCCTAGTTTACAGAAATAAGTCAAAGACGGAGCATACATACTGCTTTTGTTAACAATGTCTTTGTTCTCACAACGTTGGCCCTTGAAGCCTTCGGCGCACCTGCAACACGCACAAAAGTCATTTTTAAAAACTTTCGATTGCTTTGGAGTAAAATGATATTTCGACAGTTTTCATCGTGTTGTAGAAATAGCAGTTGCTTGCGAATGAACAAATAATTATGTCTGTTTACTTACTGGCACACCAGCTCTCCAATGGTTTCGTAGAACGTACACGTGCCTCCGTTCAAACAATAGACGAGATCTGCCGGACAGGGACCACCAACTAACGGCCAAAGAGCTGTCGCTGAAAATTACAGAATTAGTAGATTAAATTGTTGAAGAGTAACAGTTACCGAGACACATTTTTTGAATATTCATAGTACTTATTTGTTTGGTACTCGCTACACAGTCTTCTATCGATTTCAAGCCTAATGTATTTAAATAAGTCATCGCAGAGCGTACGTCTCGGCGGCACGATTTACTTGTTTTCCCTTTGACAGAGTAAACCCCGCCAATTGACTTAAAATTATAACATGTACAAGTATTATAATTGCTACTATGGCGTCCGTGTGCGTGACGCCCAAGAGAAACTCATTTGTTTTGGGCGTTTTTGTATGCCGACTTGTAATTATAAAACTTCCAAGCGATTGCCCACGTTGTCGATCCCGTACCCTTTAGCGCAATATTTACGTTTATATTATTATTCATTAGATGGGCTTCCCATCAAACCGCGATAAATACACGAATGGCAAAATCTCTACCTGTCACAACAGCTTTCACGCAAAAATCTCGGAGAAACAAATTGTTGCGGTCCGAAGAAATTAACAGACACGGCACTGGTTGTAATTATGTCGTTTAGTTCCAATTACCTATTGACAGATAAATATTTGATGGCCCAGAGGGGCAGACTTTAAGATATTGTGTGTATGTTTTTTTATTATGGGTTCAATAGTACAATAATAACGGTTGTAATTTAATAGCAATGTTAATCGTCGTTGTACAAGTTTCACAAATCATAACAGTGACTAGATATCAATAACAAACAAAACGGCAATGAATATGTGCGTAATATATTATATTAGAAAAAAAAAAAAAAAGACCAACAAAAGAGAATTATGTTATCGGAACGGATAAACGGGCGGCCGTTTGAGAGATGCCGCACGCAAACAGCCCGAGGATAACCCAATTACCGTCGGTCGGTCCGACCTCCCTGATGGATTGTTTACATTATCTCGTCTATATGTCTGGTCACCACCTCCTCCTTTTCTTTCTACACCATCGAGCAGCCCCGACAGTTACGATTAGCCACACCGCCTAAATCGAGCCGAAATTCATCGGTGAAGCGCTCATCATTTTATATGCCAATGATAGTCAGACGAGAGTCCGTCAAAGGAATTGACTTGTAATGCGCTATTTTTTCGGTATTATTATCGAAGGAAATTCCCACACAAATGAATTGAATCGTCAAAACTAATTAGCGGTTTGCAACCCTTTTTCGAAAATGGCGTTATTGAAGTTTGAGGCTCCGGGGCACAACGACCCCAGTTTCACAATTGCGTCGACGTTTAAGACGAGAACTCGTATTACACCGCTGAATATACTCGTACTAGCGTCTGTGTAATAGAAATGCTCAACTAAGTTATAATATCGTTATTGATAATGTACGTATTGAACACTTGTTACTTGCACGTTAATTAAAACACAAGTAGTGTTGACCCTAAATAGAGTAACGTGTACGGCGCGCAAGTTCGGAGGTACACATTTCAATGAGCCCGAGATTATTGGAACACTCGGTCCGTTAGTGATTATTATTGGTAATAACATTTGCGTACTGTACGCCGACCCGTAGGCGTATCGAAAGAAGAAGAAAAATTGGATTTTTATTTCTAGGCACGTTGCACTCAACCAACTATTACTCGTATTAGCCGTATTGGGAGTGAACCGAGCACGTACGTGTATTCTCACATTGATTGAAACACACCAAACGGCAGATGGTGTGTGAGTTTGAGAGAACGGCCACCGCGATGAGCGACCACACGTGATACGCGTCTGACCAGTACCTCCCCCGCCCTTCCATGAAACTCATCTCGGCAACCCCGCGACACCCACCGAACGCAACAATACCTTAGCAATTAACGCAACGTATTAATTTAACGTTCAGTTCGATCGTATCAATTATAATGTTGTGGGATATCTTCGACCGAATCGATTCAGATCAGAAAACAAAACGTTTTTCAATATTATTTTAAACGCATAGATCGAATTCAAAACGGAATCGGAACCCTTTATAAGTAATCTATGGATTTGACGTTTATGACGTCAATTCTGATTACCGAGACAATTGGACGCTGCCCCGCCGAATCAGTTAATTTAGTCTTCCGTGTACAGTAATATTACAACCAAGTAGATGTCTAACGCTTTATGGGCAAAACGCATTTAACTTTTATTTGTACTACAAATGTGTCAATGAGGTACGTTTAAAATTTACTTTTTTTAGGCATTGTTACTGTAACTAATTTCTAATCGATATGCGAAAAATAAAACTCGATTTTTAAAAACTCTCTTGGTAATAATTCATCGCTTTTGGTTGGTGTATTCGCGTGCATCGTGTGTTGTGACTTACTAAATTATTTATTGACTTTAATACATTTATTAGAGTGTTAATACTTACTGTTGTCCGGTTTGGAATTAACTATGACTTGGCCCCATGAAATAGCCACGTGACCGGTTTGGACGCCAGTGCCTCTGCACTCGTACTTTCCACTGTCTTCTGGCCTTACCCTCGGTATCACAAGCATGGATCTTTTCCTAAAAATCAATCCGCTCAGTCAATGAACTTAATACACTTTGAATTCCAATAATTTCATTACTTTTTATATTGAATCCTCTTCCTGCCCACCAAAACAGGTACGCCGTCTTTGAACCATTGCAGTGCTGGCATAGGGTTGCCACTCGCCCTGCATATCAACTTCAAAGGACTTTTCGCTTTTAAAGTGACGTTGCGAAGTCCCCACACGCTGATAGGCTTGACTGTAAAAAAATTTAAACATTTTTAACCGGCTTACGGAATTAGCTCGGGGATACAAATGATGGTATGTGTGCAAGTGTCGGGTGGTCACTTTGGCCAACGATTATTGTCAGGTATAGTTGATGCATCGGCACTATGACGAGATATGCGACACTTGCTGAGACGGTACATGATGAGTAATTATCTAGAAACATTCGGACTCGTGACATCGACTAGTGCACGTAGTCGCGTTCTCGGAGTAAAATACCTCCGGTACCTTTTAAGGCATACGAGATGGTCGGCTCTCACGCGTCTGCTAATAGCACGTACAGAGGTAATGACAACTTTGAGCTCCTAAGTAGTACTATATTTAGCAGTGTCACTCGTGAGCGCTTTATCTTGCGACGGTCGTACAGGTGGACACAAAACGCGCAATACGACGAACGTCCTAGCGCCGTGTGCCGTACGATAATTGTTGCGCGCGCATCGCATTATCGTTGTTCGCAGACAACGAGCGGGATTTCTAAACACTGTCGCGGTATTTACTCTGTACGGTAGTGCGTACACAGGCTCTTTGCAAGGACGCTCGTGTGTATGTGTGCGCATGCAGTGGACTTCGCAGGAGTGTCCGGGAGATACGTGATGCGGTTCGTCAAAGAGGTAGACGACGACACGGAAACCGTTTGTCTCTCTCCGTCTGTCCTACATCGTTTATGCGCGCGCGCGAGTGTGTGTGTGTGTGTGTGTGTGTATATAAATTTGTACATTANGTGTGTGTGTGTGTGTGTGTGTGTGTGTGTGTGTGAATACGTGCGACCGCAAAAACCGTATGCCCATCTGTGACGATTGCGGTTTGCACGCGGATCCTTGACCCCGGCGATTGTTGTCGCCGGGTTTAGACAATAGCGGCGTTTGTCCGGCCCCAGCGATGAGCAACTGCTTATTCGACCGAGCTTTTGCCAAAAGCTGCAGAGCCGTTTTAGCAAAAAAAAAAAAATGACTTTCCATTGGAAGGGCGTGGCGTTGTGCGCTCACTTTTGCCCGACTTCGGACATACTTTTACGCATAACGCACTATCGCCTAAGGCTGAGGTCCGACCGTGCGGACTGCGCGCGGTACCCGGAGAGAGGTATAGTATTATATTAGGCCCGCCGCCGTACCGAGATGATGGGAATATTTTGTCGTTTGCCTATGTATGGGGACTGCCACTGTCCGGTTGTGTACTGAACGCCGACTATGGCAAGTAGCTCTCTTCGCTTTGTAAACGGACGCCGTATGCGGAATCGGTTTTTGTATTGTGCGCATACGAGAGATATTGTGGGTAACCTCGGTGGCCTCTGACGGAGATCTGTCGATGATCGGTAACGTCAACCGGCCGACGTTAATCGCGCAGGTGTGCCGCCTCCAAGGAACGGGTGAGCTGCTGCTGCACGGCGTTCGTCCTTTTAATAAGAAAAAAAAAAACCAACGACTTCGATGACAAAATATGTGGGATTTCTCGATGACAGTGATCGTGCTCAGACTACAGAATTATTCTCCCACATAATGCACACACGTGAACATTGCCCTTATAGCCGTGCGTTCGTTTCAGGCGATTAGCTGACAAACGGGCCTTTACTGCATGAATGATATATAAATCAAAACGGTCGAGATATTTGTCAGTAGTAGTACATCGCAATGCACCGGCAGAATATATTTTTAACATTTCGACTTTTCACCTCAATAAAGTGCTCGTGTGTTTATGTTGGCAATATACCCTAAGTGTGATTATTTACGTACAGCTTTAGACTGAAGGCCTACTGGAATCCAGAAATGAGTGGCTGTCCCAGTAGTATTTCTATGGAGACCGTGTCACCCCACTTTTACGTTTCTGGCTGCGGTACAAAATATATGTCGGCGACGGCAACAATACGCGGGTGTATGTGACTAACAAGTGAGCCGTGACGACCAGGCGCCCCCAAAAATAGAAGCCCAGAAGCTTCTCGGATCGTCGCTGGTGACGGCACCTGTTCCTGGACGACCACGTTGCAACGCAATATTTTCGTGTTGGGGAACATGTTAACAACATGTTCCCTCTCATTAAAGCCGCGCTGTTCGCCCCTCTGTCTATTTTCGACGGGGAAAAAATAGATAAGCTCGGGACACGCGGACAGTTGCAAGTGGCCACGCGTACATTGTGATAGTTAACGGTAATCACGACGAAAAACGTCTGAAAGGACCGCCTGCGAAATAATAAAAAATCTAGTAATGTCTTTCTATAAAATTCTGTTGTCGCATTGTCCTTGTTACATGGCAAGTCTGGACGTGCAAGTTTTGCGTTAATATTATCATAATATATTCAATTTTTTTCAATTTTGGCAATGCACCCAGACGCTTAATGACTCATTTTATACTGTCGAGCACTGCCAAACAGTCTTTCTATTTTTTTACGATTTCAACCAGTCGGTCATATCCAAATTTGTAAGCGAACAGCAGAATGTTAAAAAAATACATGAAATATAAAAACTTTGATGACGGTTTATGTTTTCTAAACAAATGTTCAGTGTAAATTTCTTGTTTATAGACATCCGTCGCCAAAAGAACAATCGTTAAATTTACTGTTGAACAACACTATAACTGTTGTATATTACTGTAATAATGTCATAACACACGATAAACGGCTGTAATAATAATGTGATTACTATGTGGTCGGCGACAGATGAAAAAACAGAAATCTCTTGACACAATACCAGAAGAACAACGATGAGATTAAAAAGAGTACATTGTAAAAGTCTACTCTTTTCAGACTCACAACAACAAAAATATCCAAATATAATATTCATGAATTAGTAAAACTTATGAAAAATATCGCGTATAAAATTCACTAGCTAAATAAAGTACTTTCGCCAATACTCTATCAACTGATACAATTATTACAATATAATAGTATTTTTTCTTTTCACTAATAAAAATCGCCATAGTTTGACAATGCTAAATGATGGGTTTTCATTTATTTTTGCTACGTTGAATATTGAAGATTTTTTTTTCAATTTCATAGATTATATTATTTAGTCATCCGAATCAATGTAATAGAGTACCTGAGCAAGGTCGGAGCTTCATGGAGCTGCGCACACACCAGTGGCGTTATTAGAGTTTTGTTTTACGAAATACATGAGAATATTTTCTATTATCCTCTCTTAACGAAAAAAATTATACCTTTGTCATGTAATAATTTTTACTGGGGAATCTACCCCCTCCTCACTCTTGACACAGGGGCCCCGCAAAATATAGCGCCGGAATCGATGTAACCTAAAGGATTGTGATTTCATTTTTAATAATTTAATTGTCCAATTTGTCTAAAATAGGAACTCTTTCGTCGTTATAGCGTTCATATGGATGAGGATTAGCTAAAAGTTCATTGATAACAAAATATGACATTATACAGTTGATAATAATAGTCAAATAAGTTAAATGACAAACTGTGTCTAAAAATTGTTCTATTTATGATTTTTGTTTTGTCGTGTTATGCTTGTACGTCTACTGAAATCCGCGATTAGTTTTCCAACTACACGATCCATGACCTACACAACAATAATTAATTATTATTATCATCACAATTATCTGGACTAGACTTCTACCTCCCGCGGTGACTAGGTAGTAGATACACACATTCACTTACTGTCGAACCGGTTATTAGGTGTTCTATTCTATTATTATTTTTATTGGCAAATAGCTTTTTACAGTCGCCACCGCTACACATCATTTAATATAAAATACAAGTGTTTCTACGATGACAACCTTTTGATGTTCTCGAGACAGTAAAATATAACGTATAAGTGTCGTAATATCACTTATCATTATCATTAACGCCACCGCAAACGAGTCTTTTGAACTGTCGGTAAAGCATTGTTGACATAAATGTTAATAATTTTCATATGTTGTAAGTAATAAAAAAGCAATATTATTATAAACAGCTATGATACAATCTTTTGTCACTACACGAACTGCACAGTGTAAATCGTTATTTATGAAAATTATAGTTTTTCCTTTTTAGTCGATCCAGCAAGTTAAACAAAATCAAAGCAAATCGCTTGTTACCAGGAAGTAGAATTAAAAAAAAAAAATCATATTGTTATTTTTGCTGTAGTAATATTTGTATGATTTATATAGTCGGGTCATTGTATTATGGATATTGTTAAGTTAAAATATAAAATTATCCAAAATGTAAAAAATACTTAATTGTAACAAAATATAGCCGTGAAGGCTCAACTGGGTCAAAACTAGTTATGGTTCAATTTGCCTGCTGATACATGAAACTGGTAATTTTAAACTTATTAATACGGACATTCGAGTTCAGTGATTGCGAGTTCGTTGTGTAATGGGAATGGTTCTAAAACTTAAGCTAAGATTTTTTTTTTTTTTTTAATTCATATGTCACATTGAAACGACAATATTTACTCATTAAAAAATCCATAGCTTTTATTAACATGATATTATTGTAACACGATACACAAAGTCAATAATAAAAAAAAAAAAATTCCAGACAGTATTTGTATAGGCCAAATTCCTGCATTTTTATATCGGTTACCTCTCTCCTCTCTTTATTATTAAATATTTTTTTATTAATATGCTGTACAACCATCGAGGCACGGCAACAGAATTTATGCGTCCCGTCCACGGTCACCTCCATCCTTGGCCTGTTCTACAGCCGGTCGGTGCCGTTCGTCCCGGTTCTCTGGTCGGTGTCCGTATACGTGCGACCAGTAATCTCCCGGGCCCTGTGTGCTTCTATTAACATTTTTCGCCGGCGGTTATACGAAAAAAATCCTTAGCGGCCGCATACTCTCTCGCCACTGCCGTCGGTCCTTTGACGGCGGCACTTTATTATTATACGCGTACTGTCCGCAACATATTAAATAAAATAATATATTATACGATTTAGATTTATGCGATCGTCTGCCGCCGAGATCATTTTAATGACGACGGCGAAGACGGACAGGACGGTTCCGCGTAGACGACAGATGCCAATCAAATATGTGCGCAT